CTAAGCATTTTCCTTCTCTCTTTCTGTGTACACCTAGGTATTTTGTCTATGATCACATATTTGCAGAAAAGATTATATCAATGGACAGTCAACTAAGCCCCGTAGAAGAGGAAAACCAGAATTTGAAGAAGGCGGTGAATCTCTTGCAAACCCAGCTCAACGTGGAGAAAGAGAAGCGGTTGTCTATGGAGGAAGAGTATAGTTTTCTGCTGAAGGAAAACACAGGTCTGGAGCAACAGCTGGTGGACATCCACCTGTACCAGGCGAGAGCCGAGGAACTGGAGACCGAAGTGGCCGAAATGAAGCAGCTCTTTAATTCTGGAAGCCCCTGTCGGAACAGGATGGAGCAACTGCCCCCAGAATCTTTTTTCATCTCCCTCAAGGGCCCCTTAGAGAAAGAACTCAGCCACGGTCCTTGGGATGGGATGTCCTTCATCTTTCCTGAGCTGGAGAAGAGGTCCCTCAAAAGAAGCAGCAGCGAGAGCTTGCTCGGCGGCGCGGCGGGCGATGACCTCTTCAAAGGCCACGAAGAGACCTGCATCAGGAGGGCGGAGGCCGTCAAGCAACGGGGCGTGTCCCTCCTCAACGAGGTGGACGCCCAATACAACGCCTTGAAGGTCAAGTACGAGGAACTTCTGCAGAAGTGTCAAACGGACAAAGAATTGCGGGACCACAAGGCTGTGCAGACCTCAAAACAGCGCTCCAAAGATGTCCATGGTGGGAGCTTGGTATCCCTGGACAGGGGTCTTAGGGAGCCCAGTTCCCCGACTGCTGATTCAGCCAACTTCTCTTCCAACGTTTTCCCCGAATATAAACTCCTCTTTAAGGAAATCTTTAGCCGTATCGAAGAAACTAAAAAGGACATTGACGAACATCGGGCAAAATATAAGTCTCTCTCTTCTCAATGTCCTTAAAAAAAAAGATATGGCGGGGATCAAAAGATAATTATTGTTGTTTTTTTTCCACGATGTCATCCTTTTAATGTTTCTTAGGGAACAAGATGTAAGCTCAGGATTGGCAGATTTCCTGTAAAAAATGGGTTGGATTCGTTTGGTTAGTTCTACCGAGTTGGAATCCGGTTGGATTCCATCTCGCCCTGAACCAAGTTCCCTCGGGAAGGTGAGTCTCTTGACCACCAGTTTGCAAATTAATTTTGTTACGCAACTCAACAATTCTAGTTCTGCTGGGAAGAAAACCCACCGTGTTGTCGAAACAAGAGCCACATAGGTTATATTACGCACAATGACAACTTTTTTGGACTTAGGACACTTCCTGGGGTTGAAAAGCAAAATAGAGATGATTTTTGTTAGTGTGCCATTGTCCTATACAACTGCAAGCAAGCTGTTAAAGCATTGTGCATGTTCCTTAATTGAGGAAATTTTACAGATCTGTCACTGTTCAATATGCTGGGATGCCATTCTTATTTTAAAATCCATATATATATATAGGAGTGCATAATTTGGCTACTAAAACTCCTGGTGCGTCAATCTTCCGCTGCATTAGAAGGCTGAATATTACAAAACAGTCTCCATATAAAAAGCAAACTGATTAGCATAGAGCAAAATTTAAAAAAAAAAACAATTTCACTTTAACTTTT